GAAAACCTTTCCTTGGTTAGTATAAACTAAAAATCCCTTTTTTTTTCTGTAGTATCATCTGAAAACCTTTCCTTGGTTAGTATAAACTAAAAATCCCTTTTTTTTTCTGTAGTATCATCTGAAAACCTTTCCTTGGTTAGTATAATCTAAAAATCCCTTTTTTTCTGTAGTATCATCTGAAAGCCTTCCTTGGTTAGTATAATCTAAAAATCCCTTTTTTTTCTGTAGTATCATCTGAAAACCTTTCTTGGTTAGTATAATCTAAAAATCACTGTTTTCTGAATATCATCTGAAAGTCTATTTTTTAAAGTATCATCTGAAAGTCTTTCCTTCATTAGTATCATCTGAAAGCCTCTTTCTTGTAGTATCATTTGAACGTCTTCTTTTCGTTCGCATAATTTAAATCCCTTCTTATCGTAGGTCTACTCAAAAGTCAACATTTTTAACACATTATGTGAAAGTATTTCTTTTGGTAGTTTAATTTGAAAAAATCTCTTTTCTGCAGTTTCATCTGAAAGATCTCACATCATTCCCAAGACAGGACTGTCTTGGTTCGCACGCCCTCTTTATGACATTGATTAATTCGTTGAAAAATGTCTGTTTTATATCAATTGAAAAATTCATGTTTCATCATTTGGCGAAAGTTTTTTCTTCATGTTTAGTTCACTCCCTTTTTGTTTGGTAAGCGGTGCCCCTTGTTTTCCTCACGCAAGACTTGTTCATTTTCGAGGATCAGCAAACCTTTTTTACATCAAAATAAATGTTCATATTGTCAGATATTTTGCTTATGAGGTCATGAGACTTCTATCAATCCTCTTTTTTTTATATGAAAAGTGGTATCGCTCAATATACATAATTATTGCAAATAAGTCCAATCATTTGTCATTCACACGTTTAAAACACGTATGGCTTTGTTTCACTGTGTTTTTACCTCATTATTTCATACTTGATTAGCTAAGCTGGATTAAGCTATTGATAAAAATAAAAATATATTTTGTCCTTCCAAGAAAACATTCGTCGTTTACACGCTTTGTTTGCCGAGATTTGAAAGTGTTGATTGAACTTGTGTTTTCAGAATTTCTATCTCTGTCTTTATTCAATGTCTTACTCTCAACTGACTGGCAAGGCCTGGTGGTTAGGGCACTCGATTTGGAAACTCAGGGTCGCGGGTTCGAGTCCCGTTCCCAAACACGCTAGATGCTCGTCATGTCAGTCGTTGGGGCATTATAACGTGACAGTCAGTCCCACTATACGTTAGCAAAGAGTAGTTCAAGAGTTGGCGATGGGTGGTGTTGGCTAGCTGCCTTCTCTCTAGTCAATTACTTCAAAATTAGGGACGGCTAGCGCATATAACTCTCGAGTAGCTTAGCACGGAATTAAAAAAACAAAAACAAACAAACAAATACTCCCAACTTGTCTTGAAAAATCAATTAACAACGTAGATTTATTCTCTAGAAAATTTCATTGAAGATATGCAAACCAATCGAAACTTAATGATACTCCACCCCCCACCCCCACCCCCCTCATTACAACAAATTATCCTAGTGTATTTTTGTGTCCGGAATAGCTCCACAGAAGCAGAAAATTATGTCATCATTTACCAAGGAATTCTTGAGAAACTTATTACTTTTCACTGTCATTCCTGGACAAGGAATCCTTGAGAAACTTGCCACTTTTCATTGTTGTTATACAGTAAAGAATCCTTGAGAAACTTGTAACTTTTCATTGTTGTTATACAGTAAAGAATCCTTGAGAAACTTGTCACTTTTCATTGTTGTTATAAGATAAAGAATCCTTGAGAAACTTGTAACTTTTCACTGTTGTTATACGATAAAGAATCCTTGAGAAACTTGTCACTTTTTAACTGTTGTTATACGATAAAGAATCCTTGAGAAACTTGTCACTTTTTCATTGTTGTTATACGATAAAGAATCCTTGAGAAACTTGTAACTTTTCATTGTCATTCCCGGAAAAGGAATCCTTGAGAAACTTGTACCTTTTCGTTGTTGTTATACGATAAAGAATCCTTGAGAAACTTATAACTTTCACTGTTGTTATACGATAAAGAATCCTTGAGAAACTTGTAACTTTTCGTTTTTGTTATACGATAAAGAATCCTTGAGAAACTTGTAACTTTCACTGTTGTTATACGATAAAGAATCCTTGAGAAACTTGTAACTTTTTTACTGTTGTTATACGGTAAAGAATCCTTGAGAAACTTATAACTTTCACTGTTGTTATACGATAAAGAATCCTTGAGAAACTTGTAACTTTTCATTGTCATTCCCGGAAAAGGAATCCTTGAGAAACTTGTAACTTTTCGTTGTTGTTATACGATAAAGAATCCTTGAGAAACTTGTAACTTTTCGTTGTTGTTATACGATAAAGAATCCTTGAGAAACTTGTAACTTTCACTGTTGTTATACGATAAAGAATCCTTGAGAAACTTGTAACTTTTCACTGTTGTTATACGATAAAGAATCCTTGAGAAACTTGTAACTTTTCACAGTTGTTATACGATAAAGAATCATTGAGAGAGAAATCTATATCAACCGATGTTTTTGTTTGTGCTTAGTCTGTGTAATTGGGTGTGGATATTGATGTTTGAAAATGCATTTTTTTCCCATAATGTTCCAGAGTCCTGTTACTTATGGGCTACCCTGTATTTCAAATAACACCAGTCAGAGCAGGTTATGATAAAATGGTATTTCGAAATAATTATGATTCTGCATCATAAAATTTTGTGGAATATTTAATTTAAGAATACTAATTACGGCTGAGTTTATTTAAGGGTTAAGTTCATTGTTTATAAACTAATATTTTTTATTGATCAAGTCCAGTAATTATAAGCTAGACCCTTTTTATTAATCCCTTCAACTTTAATTCTTATAAAACAATTATTTTTATTAATCTATTTAACTGTAGTACTTGTAAATTAATATTTGTGTTAATCCATTTAACTCAAGTACTTGTAAGTTCATCCTTAAAGGCTAATCCATTTATACTGAGCAAATTAATTCCATTACATGTGATCTAATCATTTTCTATTCATCCACTTAACTCCATTACTAATAAGCCAATTCTGTTTTTGTTTTTTTATCCATTTAACTCAAGTACTTGTAAGTTCATCCTTAAAGGCTAATCCATTTATATTGATCTAATCCTTTTCTATTCATCCACTTAACTCCATTACTAATAAGCCAATTCTGTTTTGTTTTTTTATCCATTTAACTCAAGTACTTGTAAGTTCATCCTTAAAGGCTAATCCATTTATATTGATCTAATCCTTTTCTATTCATCCACTTAACTCCATTACTAATAAGCCAATTCTGTTTTTTTTTTTTATCCATTTAACTCAAGTACTTGTAAGTTCATCCTTAAAGGCTAATCCATTTATATTGATCTAATCATTTTCTATTCATCCACTTAACTCCATTACTGATAAGCCAATTCTGTTTTTTTTTGTTATCCATTTAATTCAAGTATTGGAAATCCGTTATTTTAATACATTTACTGAGATCATATTCTCCAACAAAACATAAAATGTTAATTGGTTTATCAAGGTTCGATTCCCCCTCCCCCAAATGACAGCCAATGTCTAATGGCCTTTTTTCTTTGCAACAAATACTAGTGAAATCGTTTATTAAGTAATGCCTAATTTTTTTACTCAGACAGAAAACTTGAAACTAATATTATTATTAGCTGTCAAAGAAAAAGTAATCAATGTTCTTAGTTTTATATTTTTATTTAATATCACCTATTCATAATAAAAAACAATTTTTACTTAAAGATTTTACATATATGAATATATTGTTTGACAGCTGTTGTAACCCTAAAACTCATGGATCTCTACATTCCTGCCACTGTGAAGATAGCCAGTCCAGTCTGGCTGTACTGTGGATATGACCTGGAAGGAGATGACCTTTACTCTATGAAATGGTATAAAAATCATGTAGAATTTTACAGATTTCTTCCAAGTGACAACCCACCAGGACAGAAGTACGATTTGGTCGGAGTTTACGTTGACGTAAGTGACTTATGATAAGCAATGACTTATAGATTATTTATTATTGTATTATATCATGACTTAAACACACCTTTAAATCACGATTTTCCCCATCAACTGTATTTGGTTGCCACTATTTTGTCAGTATCACGAATAAAAACGTTTCTCGTTCTGCGCGAGACATAAGTATGAGAACAAATCACGTTCTTCTGTTTTGCACTTGAAAAGAAATTAAGCTGTTAAACAATTTTATACCTGAGTGGATGGGATTAGTTAGGATTAATATTTGCGTATTTGTTTAAATGTTGAATAAATACATGGCCTATGGACACGATGGTGGAATAAAATCAAAGTTATGACTACTGCCCTTGTTTATTGAACGAAGAGATATAGGAAGATAAGATACGTGTGTTACTTGTTAAGCGGACACTATCATGAAATAAGATAAGAATGAAAATCACATCCTTATTAACGAACAAAGATAAGATCATGTCCGACGATACCTGTTTCTGATTTTTGATCATGGTCAAAACAAGTGTTATTATTTCTTTTTTTCTTCTGATTTATTAGGACTTACGTCTTGATGTGGTCTTGCACTTGGTTTAAAAGTAATACATCATGGTATAAATAAAAGATTTTTCGAATCTGTTTACTCGTCATGAACACACACAGAATTAAATGTTTAGCTCACTTAGGACTGCCAAACAAGACAAGTAACTATCTTTCTGATACGAAACATTAGATATAAACGTATATATTAGATAATGCACAGGTATTGAAACAATCAGTCATGGTGTCCTGCCCTATTCTGACCATCGACCATGAATCTCCATTGTTCTCTATTCCTGCACCAGCTTTCCGAATTCAAACTTCTCATTTTCAGTCCATTATGTAATGTTATGTGGCCCGGCATGGCTAGGTGGTTAGGGCGCTTGACTCGCAATCTGAGGGTCGCGGGTTCGAATCCCCGCCTCACCCGTGGGGGCGTTATAATGTTACGGTCAATCTCACTATTCGTTGGTAAAAGAGTAGCTCAAGAGTTGGCGGTGGGTGGTGATGACTAGCTGCCTTCCCTCTAGTCTTACGCTGCTAAATTAGGGACGGCTAGCGCAGATATCCCTCGTGTAGCTTTGCGCGAAATTAAAAAACAAACAAACAATTCTTTTCTCGGGGAGAAGTGTCCCCACGTACTCGGCGCTTATGTGGGTAGTATTTTAGTATGGAACTCAAAAGGTTTTTTAAAAATCAAGAAAAGAGACAAATGAACTCCCATAAAAACTATGTCAACAAGCAATTTTATTTACAGACTTCCTTGTATGGAATTTTAATCTATGTAAAATGTGTTTTGGTACATAAACAATAAATTGATTCTAACTTTAGGAAAGATATATGGCTAAAATTATTGCTATTACAATTCAACTTGTTAGGTTTCCTTGTTAGTTTGCTAGTACACAAAAAGTAAATATAAGTAAATAGTTAGGGACGGGTTATACAGATAAGTTCCTCGGTGGAACTGCGGTAAGTCTTCGAATTTACAACGCTAGAATCAGGGGTTCGATTCCCCTCGGTGGATACAACAGGTAGCCCGATGTGGCTTTGTTATAAGAAAAACACCTTGTGCAGATAACCTTCGTGTAACTTTTCGCGAAATTCAAAACCAAGCTAAAAGCACTGTTTCCGAACTTCCTGAAGGATTCAGTTTCTTCCATCTAACGCTAGGGCAGTAAATTCCAGGTCCAATTGTTAATATTAAGACAAATATTTGTTAAAAGACATTTCGTCCAACATTTTCAAAGATCATAGCTTTTTTTTTATAACTAGCCAATACAAAAATATTTTAAAACACTGATTAAAATATTCTTGTTTAAGAATTAAATTGAAATGTTGACGAGAAAGTTTCTTCATTATTTTTAGCGTATTACCTATATGTTATTGATTAACTGATTTTTTTTTACAGATAATAGTTTCTCTAATTATTTTCTTATTCGCCAACTATGCAAATATCTAAGTTTCAACGATCTCTTTGACTCGTAGCTCAAAAAATCCAACCAAACCCACGTATACCTAACTCAAACAGACCTGAACACCGATGGGCTTTATGGTTGCGAAGTGTCAACAGAAGCGCCCTCTTATAGGACCGTGCAAGCAGAAAAAAAGATGAAAATTTATGGTACGTTTCCACTTTTGGAACTTAAATAAGAACTTAATTGGTATTAATTAGTTAAAAATATATATACTATATTTGTAATAATGACATTCTAATCTAAAAATATAATAAACATTAAGACCTTGTAATAGGTTATTATTTAATGAAAAAACCACAGTAAACGGAACAATCTGTCAGAAGTCTGATATCAGAAAAACTGGATTCGACACATTCGTGCGTCCTCTTCACGTTGTCTTCTGGCAGGAAAAAACTGGTTAACAAATGCCTACGTGACCCCTGATCTTGGAATTCCCTTAAGAACAGAGGAGGTCAGTAAGTTGTTAAGTTTAAAGTGAACTTGGGAGGTGTTGAAATTAGACAGGCTTTTGATTAATCAACTTTAGACGATTCCTTTATTCTATGTAATTATCGGTTTTGTATAAAATTCTTGTTGATTTTCAATCAATTTGATGGCCAGAATCTCTCATATGAAGAAAAATGGCATTGTTTTGGTTTCTTTTCTTTAAAAATAATTTATGAAAATATGATATTTAATATTTCTAGCATATAAAACACTCTTGTCACATATCACGATCAGCAGGCTAACACAGTGTTTCGTGAAGAACGAACTCAACGACCGATAAGACAGCGCCCTCATCAGGACGTAATCTAAAACAAACACTGTACATCATTACTCGTCTCCAAATCTCTATTCACTATCGTGTATAAACCATCACAAAATATTTCTAGATTCTGCATTTTTACACGAATTGACATTTTAGTAAAAAATAAAGATGAAAGATACATTCAAACAGAAATAGAAAGTTAGTTTTCTCTAGAGTTGAGCTTTCAGAATACGTTTTGAAATAGTAAAACGTTCATGGCTTGGCACTCAACTAACTCTATTTTTTCTTGCTTAACTCATTAGAAACGTAACTTAATCAAGGAACTTGCAAGAACCTGTCGTCTTCAATCACTTATTGTTTGTTCTTCATCACAGATAGTAAACATATCTGTAATGACATATTTTTAAAAGCAT